TTTTTGATATAATTTGAACTTTCATGTGTCTAATAATAATAACAATGAAAATTAAGATAAAAGTATAAATAAACAATGGTGGATTTTAATAATAATGAAAATAAAAATAAAATGAAGAACTAACTCGTGGGGAGTGAAACAAAGGACCGGAAGTGGAGTGAACGACACCAGATCTGGAGATCGTAGTAATCGTCGTATCGTTTATTTCATTGTAACTACATTAATTTCTCTTATACATAGCATCATTTCTCTTCTTCTTCTCCTTCTTCTTCTTCTTCTTATTTTATTTCTCTCTCTCTTTATTTTATTTAATTTCGATTTAATCATTACGTACAACGGTGTGTAACATTTATAATATCTTTATCTTTTTTTATTTTATTTTTGTTCTCGTTAACCTAACAATGTTTAACGCTACACGCAATATTTCACAGAATTTTCTCTCTCTCTCTCTCTCTCTCTCTCTCTCGCACACACACTCTGTCGTATTTTTTCATTATATATTCTCTTATATTCGTTCATTCTTCTTCGCGCATGCATCTACACAGCTTCATTCTCACCCTCGCTCTTTATTTACTCTCCTGTTTGTTTTTTGTTTTTACTTCTGTAATGTTCTTCTCTTTCCTTTCTCTCTTTTTTTTTTTATTGACTTTCGCTGTTTCATCCTCCTTTTCTCTATCTCGGGTTATTCTTTGTATCGACGAAAAGCGAAAGCGCGAGCACTCTGTGCAAGTGTGTTGTTACATACATACATACAATATATATATATATATATATATATATATATATATATATAACATATTTATATTATATATATAATATATATATCGTTATATAATATATAAAATTCAATAATATATATATATATATATATATATAGAATAGGTCTGCGTGACACGAATGTTGTATCATTTTTTATATATATATATATATATTATATACATACATGCACGACATTCGTCCACTATGAGAGTCGTTAATTAGCGTACTAAGATAAAGTAAAGTTTCTTTCTCTTCGTTTTCACCTCTTTCCCCCACGCTGCAAATCTATACCGTTCTCGTCTCTCTGCCCTGACACGCGATTAGAGCATACATTATGGAGAAGAGAGGTTATGTTCGTTGAGCACATTTTGTTTCTTTTAATTTTACTTTTTATTTTATTTTAATTTAGTTTCCTCTTTGCTTATATCTCGAAATGCGGTTCAACGTAAGAATCACAGAAGACGTTTGGGAATAGACAAGGGACAATAGAAATGGACATTGATGGGAACATTAATTCTCAGTTGGTATTACTGGGGTCACCGGGACAATTTAGGATGAAATTACTTACAATTAGTTTTAGAATTTTTCGTTCAACCAAATGCTCAATTCTAAATGCTTTTTAAATATTCGTTTTAGTATCTGTCAGGGTGAACGTAGAATATGAAATAAAATCAAATTCTCTAGATTTCAATAACTTACTAGACGTCTAAATACTTTTTAAATATTCGTTTTAGTATCTGTCAGGGTGAAAGGTAGAATATGAAATAAAATCAAATTCTCTAGATTTCAGTAACTTACTAGATGTCTAAATACTTTTTAAATATTCGTTTTAGTATCTGTCAGGGTGAACGTATAATATGAAATAAAATCAAATTCTCTAGATTTCAGTAACTTACTAGACGTCTAAATACTTTTTAAATAGTCGTTTTAGTATCTGTCAGGGTGAAAGGTAGAATATGAAATAAAATCAAATTCTCTAGATTTCAGTAATTTACTAGATGTCTAAATACTTTTTAAATATTCGTTTTAGTATCTGTCAGGGTGAACGTAGAATATGAAATAAAATCAAATTCTCTAGATTTCACAGTAATTTACTAGATGTCACTATAGCTATTTACGACCCAACGATATTACTTAAGGCTTAACAAAAAAACATGTTTCAAAAAATATTTGAGAAGTTGTTCGATAAAAGGGCGGTGGTTTCCTTCTTTTTTTTTTTTTTTTTTTTATTAAAGGGTTTATTCAAAATATAGAGCAGATATGTATATATATCTAGATATTGGCGTATTATATTTTGTCTTCTTCCGATTCAACGAAGAGATCAACGCTTCTTCCATTAGTGTCTCTTGCATTATTTGCAGTGCACGTGCCTGAAACTATCGGATGCAAGAGAATCTAATTTTCTTGAACATGGATCGATAATGAATCTACATAAATTCATCGTGGCGGATGCAGTTGCGATTAAACGTAAACCAAATTGAGACACGCAAAATGTATATACCATTTTTAGAGAATTCAGTTTCCATTGCTTGGTGTGACTGAGTTAAAAAGAAGCCAATTAATTTAAAAAAAAAAAAAAAAAAGTAGAGTTTAAGTATTGAACCCAATTTGTCAGAGATTAAATATGTATAAAGTTTCACGTTGCAAAATTAGTCATGAATAAACTGAGGCAGAATGAGTTTGCCCTTATAGTATATCACTTGATGTGATTAATTCAAGTGCCAAGAGAAAAATGGAGATTAAGTGATCAGTATTAAATTGGAGTTTACAATTAAGACACTCGGAATGCTGTATTTAAATCAAGAAAATTAATTGCGTCGTAGTATCGAGGGAGACCAAGCAGGTTACAAAGAAAGATTGTAACATTTTCTCCGTTTTAAGTATATTTAAATGCAACCGAGGCGAAAACAATTGACGAGTTTTATTACTTCTTAATAATTTCCAATCCAGCGACGTACCGACGAGTGAACTGGTCACTCGTTATGGTCCGCGTAACCAGTTGCCCAGCGCAAGCGGTTGCTCAAGGGCCGTTGCAAAAGCAACGGTACACTATAACGTTGCAAACACTTTAATTTCCCTAAATTTAATTGAAAACAAAAAAAAAAAAAAAAGAAAAAGAAATCAGAAATGAAATACTATACCTGAATCTAAATCGTTGAATCCAAAAGGATTAAATGCAATGAACTTTAAACGAGGCTTCGAAGCAAGAACGATCGGAAAAATCCGACGCATTTGACCAATCCGTCATCGTATTTTCCACAACAGCGTGGGAAATAAGGCAGGAGTCGTTGTTTGTTGCGTCGGAATCCGGATGTTGGCCCACTTAGGCCGAGTTTGCCCCACGGAAACGATCAAAGGGGTGGCTTTGAAGCGTAAACTCGGGGAGGGTAAAGCCAGGGTGTATGTGTGCACTCGTATTCATCTGCTCCTTTCATCGTTTCCATCTTCGCCTCAAAGTATACCGAGCCTCGCGGGCTCCTGCTTTTCTTTGCCCCCCCCCCCCTCTCTCTCTCTTTTTCTCTCACTCTCTCTTTCGTTGACGGCGAAGGCGAGAAAAGAAAAGGAGAAAAGGAAAGAAGCAGAAAGGTGAAGAATTCCCTCGTCTTGTTGTGGAATAATTTAGGCCCTCGACTTGCGGATACGCCAGTCTCTCTATTTTTAACTTCCTCTGCCCGCGATATCCTCCAACCGAGACCCTTCTTCTTCCACCTTGAGCCGCAACTTTTCCTTTCGCTCGAGGTCGAAATTTCTCGTTCGCCTTGCGAGCCTTCGCAGTTATGTCAGGGCTGATTTACTTTGAATTCAGGCCCAGTTTACCTGGCCATGATTTTTCTTTGTTGGATTTAGATTCAATTGAAATCAATTTCAACAAGATTAGTTAAAGTTCGTAGTTGAATAAATTTAGAACTGAATTTTCGACGGTTGCCCGAATATATACCTGAATCCTAACTTTTACATACGTTTGGATATACACGCACCAATTAAATGTTTAAAATATTCTTATATAAATAAATGTTGAATCTTTTTAATGAATTATCAACTAACTCCGGTCATTAAACTTGGAATTAGCCACGATTTTCAATGAAACAGAAAGTTGAAATTTTAAGAAGTTACAGGTATTTAATTTAATTACAGTTTCAGACACAAGCCACGTATATTCTGAAACATCCGCGATTAACGTATTTCTTTCAGTTCATTAAAACTTCACAAAGAGTCCGAGAGATCGGAGGTTATTTGCGAGAAGATTAATTTCCATAATTAAACACTAATAGTAACAGTAATTAATATAGAAAAACGAGCTATTGAAGCGAACAAAACAAACGTGAGAATCGAACACTGAAAGAGTTCTTCATTTATCCATCATTTCCCGACAGAACTTCCAAGAAATTCAAGATAACGGAACTCGAGATAAAAAAAGAAAGAAAGAATGGAAACTTTATCCTGATCTACGGGAGGCATCGATGAAAATACGAGGGTATAAACACCCGGAGAGATTCCTCCTATCTGTTATTATTCTTTTTTTTTCGCCTTTCCAGACAGACCTGCAGTCAGCGTTTTACGCATTTTTCCGCCGACCTGGCTCACTCTCTCGCCGGTTTTTATGGGGGACCTTCTACCTCTCGCTTCCCCGTTTAAGCGGATTCGCTGCGCCGTTACTACTTTGCCAGTGGTGCAGCCGTACGCTTGCTTCGGCCTCTCTTTCGGTTTTAAGTACCACTCTCATCTTCCTCGTTTTCGCTCGTCGTCTTCTTTCTTTTTCTCTTCAGGCGAACGACTCGTTGCTTCACCCTCTCTCCTTCTTTTTTCTTTTTTTTTTTTTTTTTTTTTTTTCTTTNTTTTTTTTTTTTTTTTTTTTTGCTTCTGTTCTGCGAGCAGAGGCAAGAGAAGAGTGCTACGCCGTTCCATTTAGTCGCTTTACTACTGCACGTTCTTTTGGCCCCACTTCCGGCGCCACCATCGCTACTACCACCTGTTTCTCTCACATTCTTCTTTTCCCTCTTCCTCTTGCGAAACACTGCGCTCTTCCTTTTCGGCTTCTTCGTAGTTTTCTGATCGGTAATTGTTAGGTCTCGAGGCGTGGGTGGATTGAGGATCGATACACGTGAAGGTTAGGATTTAGGTTAGGTCTGATGTGAATTTGAATAAGGATGAGAATTTCACTCTTGTAGATTGGACCTTGCACTCCATTCTGATTTGAAGCATATTTTAGGTTAATAGGAAATTGAAGCTGGTTTTAAAGTAAATTACTCTTGATTTTGAAAGTTTGGACCATAAAAGAATTTTGTACGTTGGATTTAGGTTTTAAAGTAAATTACTCTTGACTCTAGAGATTAGGTTTGGACCACAAAAGAATTTTGTATGTTAGATTCAATTTTAAATTTGGTCAAACCACGAAATTATGTTAATCTAAATTAAACTTAAATTAACTATTATTTAGATTTGGTTTTAAAGTAAATTACTCTTGACTCTAGAGATTAGGTTTGGATCACAAAAGAATTTTGTATGTTAGATTCAGTTTTAAGTTTGGTCAAACTACGAAATTACGTTAATCTAAATTAAATTTAAATTAACTATTATTTAGATTTGGTTTTAAAGTAAATTACTCTTGACTCTAGACATTAGGTTTGGACCACAAAAGAATTTTGTATGTTAGATTCAATTTCAAGTTTGGTCAAACCACGAAATTATCTAAATTAAACTTATAATCTAAATTAAACTTAAATTAACTATTATTTAGATTTGGTTTTAAAGTAAATTACTCTTGACTCTAGAGGTTAGGTTTGGGTTAGACCACAAAAGAATTTTGTATGTTAGATTCAGTTTCAAGTTTGGTCAAACCACGAAATTATGTTAATCTAAATTAAACTTAAATTAACTGTTATTTAGATCTAAAGTAGAATAAATAGAGCAGAGTAAATTAGTTTTGTCCCCAAGTTAGGTCAAGTTTAGATTAGTAAATCTCCATGAAGGTTTGGGTTAGGTTTGGGTTAGGTTTTGAATTAGGAATATGAATTAGCTTTGAAATGATAAAATTCTAGATTGGTACAAATTCTTTGTGCCAATTAATAAAAATATATTGTCAGTTAAATTGAATTTAAATTCAGTACGAATCAATTGGATCAGGCTCGGGATGGAAATCTATATGATTTAGATCAAATTGGAGCAAACTCCCAAATTATATGAAAGTTTAACCTAATATTAATCTAGCTTCTAAATTAAATTCCAATTGATTTTAAACTTTAATTGATTTTGTATTATTCTTCGTATTAAAATTACTGCTAAATTCGGTAAGAAGATTATGATCAGACGAATTGAATCCTGATTCTAAGTTAGGTTGAATCTAATTAGAGATTATATTTCTGCTTCTTAAAGTCAAGTGTTCATATCAGTTTTAAATCAGATTACTTTTTGCGTAATTCGATTTACAAATTCAATTATCTCAAGTACAAATTCAAAAAATCGAACAGTATCCTCTCTCTGCGTGGACAGAGATGAATTCGAAAATAGAATTTCCTCGACATTTAGAATTTCAAATACCGGATAAACTCATTTTTTAAAACCGCACATACGTACAGAATTCCCCGGAAACTCGTTTTTTTTAAAATTCTTTTTATTTTTTTTGCGAAGCGTGCAACGTTTCAAAGAAACCGCGTGAAATGAAAAAGCCCAATCAACTCTCGTTGCGTTGCCGTCGCGTTTTATTAACTCTAACTGTGCAAATAATTGCCCTCGATTTCCACGACCGAACGGGAAAACGGAACATTCGCCGAATCCGCCGAATGAAAATTGATAAATTCTTAATTACTCGGCCGAGAGAAAACGCCGAATGAATTTCACGTGATTGGTTTTCACGCGTCTGTCGACACGCGTCGAAGGGGCGAATAATATCGATATATATATACATATATATATATATATATGCACGCCCGAAATGCATCGGGCGTTGAACAAAACCGCCGGTATATAACATCGCAGGAGCGTTTGCGTTCACGCGCCATCGAGTGATTTAATTAGCGAATGACCGCGCTCCGCGCGTTCCCTCTGTTCTTCTTCCCCGTGTTCTCCATCGTTCTTTTCGCTCGCGATCGTTTATTAACCCATTGAGAGGCCGATAATTGTTCGACAACTATGAAACGTATCGGGAAACGACGATCTTGCAAGAACTCTTGCGTAACACTCGGCGTAACACTCTTGCGCGACGCGTTGACTCGTCGAGGACCTAAGCGATGCAAGAGTTTGGGTGTTGGCTTCTTTTTTTTTTTTTTTTTTTTAAATTTCGTGAAAATATTTTGCTGCAGAGAAAAGTAACTAGTTAATACTTGGAATTAGCTTTCANTTTTTTTTAAATTTCGTGAAAATATTATGCTGCAGAGAAAAGTAACTAGTCAATACTTGGAATTAGCTTTCACAGGCACGAGTGAGCGCAGAATGATCCAAAATGTGACAACGATACTTGTTACAATGATAAAATCATTTTTAGCTTTAAATTATACAGAATTCTGGAATTATAATTCGAGGTTTTTAATTATGTTCAATTGTAATTTAATTTTTCTTATAATTTTTAACATTATGTTCAATTGCAATTTGATTTTCTTTATAATTTTATAATTTTTAAAATTATTTTCAACTGCATATCAATTTTTTTTATAATTTTATAACTTTCATAAAATTATGTTCAATTGCAATTTGATTTTTTTTGTAATTTTATAATTTTTAAAATTATGTTCAACTGTAGTAGTTTAATTTTTTTTATAATTTATTAATTTTTAAAATCACGCTCAATTGTAATTTAATTTTTTGTGATTTAGTTTTATAATTTTATAATTTTTAATTTTTTTTTATAATTCTATAATTTTTTAAATTATAAATTATATAATTTGAAATATAATTATAAACATCTTATAAATTATATAATTATATAATAAATATAACATTATAAATATATTTATAAATCATATAATTATAATTTTATAATTTTATAATTTATCAAATTATATTCAGTTACAGTTTTCAAAAAAACCACGGGACGAAAATTTATTCTAATGACGAATTGGTATTTTGGATTGGAAAGAGAGGAAAGAATCACGGATCCGCGAAATGTTAGTTTTTTTTGGCACGAGAGAATCGTTGTTTGTTTTCGCTCTTCTGTCGCGATTTCCTTTTCTGTGAAAGGGTTTCTTTTCGGCACTGTTGTTTTTCAGAGCGTGGACATTTTTTTCTTTTCGTGTCTTCGAAGCTGGCCAATTTTTTCTTTTACGCGGAAACGAGACAGTTTCAAAGGTTTCTTTCACGTCGAAAGACTCGGCGCCAATTAATCTCGTTTCGAGACCCTGGTTTTTCAGAGCCAGCTCGCGTATCCTGGTAATTGACTCGTATTGCACTCGGTGCACTCTCGTTCGAAAGTCTTAGAACCAGCATTATGTCCGTTTCAAAATTGGAAACATTAAATGAAAGTTGTCGACTAAATTGTATTAATATGTTGTCAGTGTGTAAATCTTCTAACTCAGGATCGACATCGAATCTAATTAATTTTCAAGTGATTAACAAATAATATTGTTCATTTTGCAGTGTCGTTCTCGCAAATCTAAGTGGATGAAATCTAAATTTATACAATAAATTTAATATCAATTAAATTTATAATTCAATCGTTTCAAATGTTCTTTAAATCTCTTCCAATTTATCTGACTTAATTATCTAAATTTCTATTTAATCTGTAATATGTAATAATCTTGATAGTAATCTTTATTCTATAAAATCTCCATTCAATCATCTAAATTTATATAAATTAATTAACAATATTTTTGCAAATTCTGTATCTTCAAATTCCCTTGTAACCCAATTATACAATAAAACACTCGTGCAATTGAAAAGTTTTATTGCGCTGTACAAGCTTCAATAATTAATAATTAATTGACAAAATAATTCAAGTTATTCGACATTTATAATTTATAAATTCCATTTCAATCAATTTCAATATTAAACAAAGAAAAAAAGCAGTGATCAATCAATAGCATGAAAATAATTCAAGCAACTCGGTACAAAATTATTATCGTATCATACCTTTTTATTACTATTAAATTCTTAAATTGAACGAAGCCACGAATGAAAACGATTCCAAGATTTTCGAACGTATTCGCACACTAAATACTTTAATACCTTAATTTATTTTTTTCAACAATGACTGCAACAGAAGTTCGTGCGGTTCATCGCGTGAATTCATTTGCCTTGGCCCTTAACGAGTCGACTGTTCGTTAACCCAGTTCGATATCTTCCTCTCAAACGAAGAAGAAAAGGAGGAAAAGGAAAAAAAAACTCCTCTCTTAATTCGCGGTTTGTTAGCTCCCGTTTTCCCTTTCCATTTCATCTTCCTTCTTCTACTCTCGGTTTCTTGCTATTCAACGAACAATCGAGAATACGAAACGAGGGGAGCTTCGTACGCTCCTCGGTTCTTTGGGACGATTAATCCAGCTCGAAAAAGCTCGGTCTCCTCGCGAATCGGTCTCTCGGTGGAGTTAGAAGCTTGTTTTCACACTTTTGCTTGCCACTGAAATTTTTATCCTCTGTGTGTGTGTGTGTTTGTGTACGGAGTGCAGCCAGAAATAAAGACGCAATTGGGAAAATCAAGTTGAAGTGTATAACGTGAAATTCCTTTTGCCCGAGGCCTCGTTAATTTCGAAGAAAGAAAAAAAAAAAAGTTGTCTCCGAGAATTCGTGGATTTGCAGTGAAAATTTGTAAAATTCTATCTTTTACTATTCTAGAATTTTTTCAGTTAACGAATTCTATCTTTTACTGTTCCAGAATTTTTTCAGTTAACAAATTCTATCTTTTACTGTTCCAGAATTTTTTCAGTTAACGAATTCCATCTTTTACTGTTCCAGAATTTTTTCAATTAACAAATTCCATCTTTTACTATTCCAGAATTTTTTCAGTTAACGAATTATATTTTTTACTGTTCCAGAATTTTTTCAATTAACAAATTCCATCTTTTACTGTTCCAGAATTTTTTCAATTAACAAATTCCATCTTTTACTGTTTCAGAATTTTTTCAGTTAACGAATTCTATCTTTTACTGTTCCAGAATTTTTTCAGTTAACGAATTCCATCTTTTACTATTCTAGAATTTTTTCAGTTAACGAATTCTATCTTTTACTGTTCCAGAATTTTTTCAATCAACAAATTCCATCTTTTACTATTCTAGAATTTTTTCAGTTAACGAATTTTATCTTTTACTGTTCCAGAATATTTTCAGTTAACGAATTCCATCTTTTACTGTTCCAGAATTTTTTCAATTAACAAATTCCATCTTTTACTGTTCCAGAATTTTTTCAATTAACAAATTCCATCTTTTACTGTTTCAGAATTTTTTCAGTTAACGAATTCTATCTTTTACTGTTCCAGAATTTTTTCAGTTAACGAATTCCATCTTTTACTATTCTAGAATTTTTTCAGTTAACGAATTCTATCTTTTACTGTTCCAGAATTTTTTCAATCAACAAATTCCATCTTTTACTATTCTAGAATTTTTTCAGTTAACGAATTTTATCTTTTACTGTTCCAGAATATTTTCAGTTAACGAATTCCATCTTTTACTGTTCCAGAATTTTTTCAATTAACAAATTCCATCTTTTACTGTTCCAGAATTTTTTCAATTAACAAATTCCATCTTTTACTATTCCAGAATTTTTTCAGTTAACGAATTATATTTTTTACTGTTCCAGAATTTTTTCAATTAACAAATTCCATCTTTTACTGTTCCAGAATTTTTTCAATTAACAAATTCCATCTTTTACTATTCCAGAATTTTTTCAGTTAACGAATTATATTTTTTACTGTTCCAGAATTTTTTCAATTAACAAATTCCATCTTTTACTGTTTCAGAATTTTTTCAGTTAACAAATTCCATCTTTTACTGTTCTAGAATTTTTTCAGTTAACGAATTCTATTATTATTTATTATTTTCCTATAAAAATCTATTATTCTTTTATTATTTTCCAGAATTTTTCCAGTTGACGAATCTGGAAGGATCTCTGTTTGGAAAAATTCGTTGCAATAAATGTAATTTATTGAATAATTTGTCATAAAATTAGGTAACTTAGTTACTGCAAATTTGGTAGAATTGCAGGTATCGTAATTGTAAATTCCACGGAATTGTAGAATTTTCTTGAATTTTATAAAATTGTAATGTTTCTTTAGACTTTACGAGATTGCAGACTTCATCGTGATTGTAAATTTTATAGGATAGATTTTTTTTATGTTATATCATTATATTATTAATTTTAATATTATTATTAATTAATAATATTATCATATTATTAATTTTAATATTATTAATTAATAATATCATTATATTATTAATTTTATAGGAATAAGATTTTCAATTGTGAAACTGTGGGGGACGAATACTAAGCAAATATTTGATAATAATAATATTAAAATATTAAAATAATATATTTCAATTATATAATTTTCAATAATATATTTCAATAATATAACTTTAATAATATATAATATTATTAATATACTTTTATATTAATAATATTAAAAGATACAACTTGCAGTAACGTCAAAGAACAAAAAGTTGATTGATTAATAATAATTAATTTGTCGCATCAGAAGCGGCAAAAGTGTCAACAACCTTCTATGCCACATCGACAAGTAATCTTTCCAAATAATTGTCAACCCTCTGTAATCGAAACTCCAGAATTGAAAATCTGATAACTAATCGTTCATTTGGTATTTTCACATCTAAATCTGCAAAAATAACACGGCCGCGTAAATCATTAACAGGATTTGAAACACGATATACCAAATGAATTATTAATTAATTAATACAACATCATCGACAACGTTACAACGTTTCGTAATATAATATAACATCTCAACACTGTACATTACATTACAAAACCGCAGCTACAGATATATATATATATATATATATATATATATATATATATATATATATATACGTTCAATGCTCGATTTTCAATATTTATTGCAACATTAAAATATCGATATTAAAAATATTACACGTCGGTCAATAACTCATTTGATAGTGTTCCAACGTAACATTATTGTACGTTGTATACATACACACACACACACACGTGAACAACATTTTACGTGGCTAACGAGCAATTCATTCGCTTACTTTCACAATGCTCTGCCATTCGAAGCGACGAAAGCCAAATCCTCGGATGGACGCGAATGAGAGCATGCTCATCAAGTTGCTCATCAAGTTAGGATGTCACAGAGGGTTAAGAACGTGGCAGTTAAGAACGTGTGCAAAAGTGAAACACAAGGGGGCGAGAGAGAAAAATTAAAATAGAAAAGTGAAAAAAAAGAAACACCGTTTCTGTGAAAGGATGTCGGATATCTGGTTGGAGGAAAGGCTTGTTTCCTGTTGGAACAGAACTGTTAAGCAAAGAATTCTTGGAACAGCGAGCTTTCAGTGACATCCTGAAACGCATCGATCCGCGATCAATTACACACTATGTCAGCTGCACACGCAGGAACAAACTATCTAAAGACAAATATTGACCCATTTCAGCTCCACGTGAACCGGCGTTCTTATCATTCTCTTTTTTTCCTTTTTTTTTGCATTTTTCTATCGATATCAATTTTTTTACTCTGCGATCGCCGTGCTTCTGCTTCTGTAATTTCACTCTTCGGCAAAGTGGAGAGATCCAGGGTAATTAACCTCGCTTCGAATTTTTACCACTCGATCGAATAACTGTAATTACGATATATCTCGATGACGAGAGTAGAAATTATTCGATTGCGATATTATAATCGCTTGAAATTGAAATTCAATTTTGTCAGATTTTGTTAGGTTTGCAATTTTCCTTCTTTTATTTTTGAAGACGAAGGAAATGGAAATTACACTTTTTTCGTTGCGTCGGTGAAACGATTCTCTTTCTTTGCTTTCTTTTCAGCAAAGAAATCTTTCATTCTTTCGTGCGTCGAAGCGATCGACTATTGAAGCTACCATCTTCCCGAAACTCTGTAGACATTTTCTCAGAGAATCTCAAGTTTCAAGCAGATTTTCCCAACTCTTTCGAAAGACTTTCAAAGAAGATGATACTCTAATTTAGTATCGTTCACCGGCTATACCTAATACCACGTTTACTGTTCCATATTTCCCAGCGAGTAAATTTCTCAGAGTAACAGAGAAAAAGAAAAAAAAAAAAAGGGGACAAACAAATTTCGGAAATAGCAGCCAATCGATCATTGCAACTCGATCGAAAAATCAACCGTCGTGTTGTTAATCGTTGTCAATGGGGCGACGAGCGTGCACGTTGATTGGCTAATTAATTAATTCACTTGGCCGAGAATAATGAGAACGGCCTCAGAAATGGCGCGTGAAATGGGCCGAGCGTGTTTCACGTCGAGGCACTAATCCTAACATTAAGTTTTTCCACGACAAGACGCATCAGGGTAATCAGCTAATGATATGTGAGGACCGTGCTTAACCGTTAATGAGATGGGTGCGTTTTTCGGACGCTGGAGAAGCGTATACGGTTCTTCTTCCGCTTTGCTCGCGTTTTTATTTCTAATAAAACGGAGGACGCCGCCCATTTTGCTTCGAAATATCCAGACACGCCTCGATCAATTCGTTTCAATTAATTTCACGCACGTTCCGCCAGCCGCCGAATTTTTCGAATCTGATGAAAGACGAGCACGTGTTTACTGCTGTTGCAATTTTGATTAATCCATCGACGAACAGGTGATTATCTTCTCCTTTTGATGCGTTTGTATACGATCAATTGTACGAGAGATTATTTACAGAGAGTCAATCATGTCTGAATTATAGTTAATTATACACGATCAATTATAACGTTGTTTTAGCGTTTCAGATGTTTTACGAATAATCATTTAGATTATAGTGTGTGCGTGTGTGTGTGGGAGATGTTGGAAATTATTTTAGGCAGTGATTTCTAATATCGTTGATTTATTCTGATTTATTTGATGATCGTGCGTTACGTTATCTTTTTTTTTTTTTTCCATCGATTTACAGCTTGATCTCGTCACACAATTTATATACGATCTGAAATGTATAATTTTTCACGATTCGAATCGCTATACCCTTGTCACCAGTGAATAAACATGAATTTTTAAATTACGCGATATAAATTTCCCATCATGGATGAAAACACCAATATTGAAACGTACGACGAAGTAGTGGATCTTAAAATTAAAAAAATTGTTAGATGAAAAAGAAATTTAAATGTTTGTTTGAAATTTTAGTGTTGGAATTTTAAAACTTTTCACCGACGCACGACAATTCGATTCTAAATCGAAGATTCCAAAAATCCCTTTGAAGCTCCAAGTTTCAAAATTTTTAATATACTAATCTTCAATAATAGTATGTAATATATATTTTTTATTATGGTAAAAATAATCTCTATACCGAATTTATTAACTTGAATCAATGATAATAATATAAATTTATGAATTAAAATATATAAAAATTTAATAATAAACTTGGATACCCTAGTATATTAATTAAATTAAGTAAATTTTTATAATCGAGTGTAGAACGTGTCGTCATCAAAATAAAGAATCATTATTATATTAATTGAATAGTAAATTTTTATAATTAACTGTAGAATCATTACAATAAAGTAATAAAATCTTCAATCTCCTTAGGGAAATTTCTTATTTAATCTGACAATCCACGATAAGAAGTACTTGAATTAAATTTATGCATTGCTATTAAAATTTATAAATAGAAACTTTATAAAATAGAATTTTAAATCAAAATGTATACTCAAGAAAAAATATATATATATATGTTTCTGTTTTTTTCTTATAAGAAAAAAAATATATATATATATATATTTTCTTAAGTATACATTTGTAACATATGTATATATATATATATATATATATATATATATATATATATATATATATATATATTACAATTATTTCGGTGCAAATGTCTGGATATTCGGAAGCAGCAACGCGCGTCGAATAAATTGTCACCAGAAAGGCTACGAATCACTCGCGATTAACGTACTATATCGAACAAAAGGGGAGACAATTAGTAGAGGTTAGGTTTCTCCTTGGTGTGGATTAGGTCCCAACCGTTTTTTTTCAGGTGTAAAAACAGGCACCAGTCGAAGTTACAGCTAGACACGCGTAGAATTAGGCTTACAGGTTAAAGTTTCAGCTTAGGCGTCGGTTAGATCTAAGTTAGGCGTATAGGTTAGGTCTCGCGGAGAACATTGTTCCTTTTAGGCCCGTTTCCATAGGCTTGAGCTTTTTCTTTTCTTTTTTTTTTTTTTTTCTCAATTTTCGTCGGTGTACCCTGTTGTCAACTCTCTCTTTCTCTCTCTCTCTCTCTCTCTCTCTCTCTCTCTCCGATCCTTCAGCGTCGTTTCGTCGAGCAAAGAATCGCTTACAAATTCGTTTACAGTATATATATATATATCTATCCAGATGCTCCAGAAGAGCCAAGTAAAGGATCTCGTTAAACACCGTCGATAAAAGAAGAGGTTAGGTTAGGTTAGGTGTTGCAATTTAATCGACACGAGTGACGCGATAGCTTTAATAGTGACAGATCGAGGCCCGCTATCGAGAAACCTGAGACACGATAGTCTAGAGCCAACAATATCATTTGGTAGAAAATATGGTCGTGCTACATCTTTGTTTCTCTCTCTCTCTCTCTCTCTCTTGTTTTTTTTTTATTAATCAAAATACCATGTTCTTTCTCTCTTTCTCTCTCGCGCGCGCGCGCACACAAACAGACACACAGACACACACACACACGCACACGTTCTGTTTCTTTTTTCTTCCTCTCGTGCTTTGTTCTCTTTTTTTTTTTCTTTTTTTTCAACGCTTTTCTTTGGTTTTTTTTTTTTTCTTTTTTTCGTTTTTCTTCTTTTCTTTTAATGCGTGCACGCGCCGTCACACGGTGATTAAAACGCTCGATGCTCTAGCTACGAAAAGATCTCTAACGATAGAATCAACTCTCGCTATATATGATATATTTATATAGGTGATATGTACCAAATGGAAGATTCATGTTTCAGCGTGCCGTTTGCCGCGAGACGAGCGCCAGTCCCTCTCTCTCTCTCTCTCTCTCTCGCTCCTCCGATCGTTAAGCTCGTTCGAGAACCTTTTCTCTCCGTTTTTTCTCTCTCTCTCTCTTTTCTCTTTTTTCTTTTTTTTATTTTTCCTGGGGTTTTCACGTCGACAGCGGAAGCTTCCCAGCCCTGAAGCATTAAAAAGCCATCTTTAGAACGGTGGAGTGTATTTTCGCGAAGCTTTTCGTATTATTTTTTTTAAAGTTTCAAATTCAAATGTTTCAACACTGAGATTAGATCAACTCCAATTAACAATCTCTGCCACATACATTCATAACAATACGTATTTTACAATATCATCTTCGATAGGAATTTGAATTTGAATTTGAATTAGATCACGATCCTGTGTATAAATATTGTTGCAAAATAAAAAGAAAGTTCATTCCGTTTCTCATGTCTATTTTTGCTATACTAGAGTCAAGTTTCGATTATATTCTCCTTACTTTATCAATAATTCCTGCCCGTTCGTACAATTCTTTCCATTCGAGTGCCACACACTCTGTTTGAAGAACAACTACAGATCCAATTACCAGGTCCCTCCGTTTCATCATTTCTCGTCGCAATCTTTTCATTCGGAAAGAAGTTTCCAATGTTTCCATTCCTCTGTCGACAGTGTACGGTTCAAGTGCTACTCTATTCGCAAGGATCGCATTACCAATGGAATCCAATCACAGGATAGATAATACCAAGACTCGACTTGTGTCTCGTCTCGCGCGAAACGATCGCGGCGCGCTCTCGCGGCTGTTGCACTGCGATTCGGAAATTATCGGATGGCCTCTCTTAAAACAGTGTGTATATATATATATATATACACACACATACACACACATATACATATATATATATATGTTAATCGATCACTCTCTGTACAGAATGTCGCTGTGTTGGACACCTACATACATATGTACGTCACGGAGCAAAAATTACACGGGTGCCTTAAAATTCTCTTAAAAGTCTACTTTTGCTCGACGGCACACGTAATTAGATATACGGAGCTTGCATGTATATACATATATTGATTCCATACACGCACATATATATATATATATATATATATATATATATATATATATGCATGTATAGATCGATATGTATGTATGTATATATATTTATATATATTGTTATATATATATATATTTATATATACACGTTAATTTGTATATGTATATTTACATTGCTTAATAATATATGCCTTAAGTTTCTATCTTTTGTTTTGTTTAACGTGTGTACAAGATTAATTCACAAGGTGCCATTTATTTATTTATTTATTTTTTTTTTTCAATTTTCGCTCTCTCTCTCTCTCTCTCACTTTCTTTCGCATGTGTGCCTTTTTTTTTTTTTGTATTTTTATCTTTCTACGAAGTCGAGAAATCGCCAATTCTTCATCCACTGCCCTCTCCTACATCCCAGTCCTCTCGTGCGCGAACCCTTTTCCGCTTTTTCTCCCCCCCCTTCTGCTCTCTTCTCTTCGAATTTCAGCGCGGAACAACGGACGAAACTGAAACGTGAAATGTATTTGTCCGCGTGCTCGCTCCTCGTTTCAATTCGAGAGAGCGTTTTTTCGCTCTTTCTCTCTCTCTCTCTCTCTCTTTTCCGCTCTTTTGCGTTACCCGTGACCGGTTTGCACGTTACCCGGGCTAAGGATCGATAGAAAGTCCGCGTTCGAGAAGGGTGGAGAAGCACGGCACGCTAGGGTTGAGAATTGACTGACAATAAAGAAGCTTCTCGTTACATTTCTTTCTCTTTTTTTCGCCCCTCCTCACTTTTTCTAGTTTTCGCTTCGAATTCCCGCGCGTTTTTTTCACCCTCTCCTCCTCTCGCTACTTCTTTAATGAATGCTGCCATTTCAGCGGTGCACCCTTGACATTCGCTCCGGCTCTCGAGTGTCGTTCGAGTTTGACCTGGACTCCTCTCTATCCAATCGTAAGACCTTCTCTCTCTCTCTCTCTCTCTCTTTACACAGATACGACCGCCAATGCTCGTACTCCCCTTTAATTATATATTTTTTTCCTTTTTTTTTTCTTTTTCTTTTTTTTAAATTCTTTTTGAATACGTTTCCTAGCGAGATTTAATTTTATCTACTGGTTTACTTCATTGACTGGTATTGTCATGTTAGCTGTGCCCATCTTGAAAGTCCAGATCAAATGGTGTCCGTGGTCCTTGCTCTCCTCAAGTTTTCTTCCCTTTTCGTCGGATCCTTAAAACCTGCAGAATTGCCAGCATTTTCTCGTGAGAATCGACATTTCGCGAGTTGGGGGACAGAATTTCGAGGAACTATAGATTGCGCGGAGCTTCGAGCAGAGATTTCCGAGAGATTTCGTTTCTCACCTTCGAAACTAAACGAAGGAAATTTGTAATCTAAGAAATTTTCCCATTTACAGTAGAAATTGCTCGCCGTCGTTGTTGGGCTTTCATTTTGACGCGACCAAGATCAATGAGAAATAATTGTCTTCTCCAAAGTTCAACAAAAATTCATCGTTGATCTAAATACAGAGACTCATTGAAATTGTTCACTTTTCCTCTTACGAAAACGTTCGTTTAACATTTCAGAACTCTTTCGAAATTCCCTTTTAAGCATCGAAGTGGAATCCAGAGAGTCTCGAACGACGCGAAACGACATAGGTTTACAAAGCGTACCGAGAATGGACCTGTTGGTGTTTTGAGGTAGCACATTTTTAATTCAAATGGATTCTCCTCCTTTGTGACAAACTAACCGTTCGCACGCAAATTAACCGTTTGCAAGAAATGAAAGATTTAGTAGCTTTTTGTAACTTGTTCGTTTCGAAGGGAATTTCTATTTGAAAGTCGAAATGGTTTAGCAACGTTTTCGAAATGAACATTGAATTTCGAAAGATTCAGTCAACTTTTCGTAACCGTTCATCCGGACGAGCCACTTTGAATTTCGTTCACAATTTGCTATTAAATCGTTAATAATTTAATTTCTACGATTCAACTTTGTCGTCGATTGTTTAAAAAAAAAAAACCAAAGAGTTTAGTAACTCTTGTAATCTCCATTTTTCTTATTTTTTGCTAATAATTTCTATTTGTTGTCAAACTCTGTTTCAATTTTACGCGAAGAATCGACGAAGTTTCGCCTGCACCCTGCAATCTGAGTTGGTCGATTGCCCAAAAAGATCGAAGATTTCGTAACATAGCAGAATGAAATAATTATTTTAACAAAAAAGGGAATTGAAAGTTGAAACGAGTGAACGGTGTCGAGAATAATAAGTGCAACTGCCTTCGTCCACTATCAATTTCTATCTCTCGGATATGAACCAATTTTTATTAAATCTCCAAGACTTAAACAATCATCCCTCCCCCCCCAAAAAAATATTCTAAGAGACGATTTTTTTCATCAAACGCGGAAAGAGCTGGACGCTCTCTTTTTTAACCACTATTTGGTCGACTTTCGTTTTCAAGGAAAAAATCGCACTACGAGTTTCCGTATAGTTAATTAATTAATTTTGTTGAGGAGAGGGTTGATTAATTAATTAATTAATAGCACGCATGTGTTGCTTATTTTCCACCGATTATTCTCGACACCGTTCACTGGTTTCAACTTTTAATTCCCTTTTTGTTAAAATAATTATTTATTCTACTACTATACAGCTCTGTGTGGTTTAATTAATTTGGCAAATAGAACTGTAAAGTCCCCTGCCAAAAATCCCTTCTTTTTACTTTCTATTAATTATCTATAAATTTTGCTTTCCCTTTCTATCAATTATCTATAAATTTTGCTTTCTATCAATTATCAATAAATTATCTGTAAATCGTGTGACATTTAAACTCCTCGATTACCGTCGTTTTTATTTCATTTCCGACTTGAGTTTTCATTAAACTCAGTAGTTAGGATTAGGCTCGAGTGAACTGTCATTAGACTCTTCTTAATTCTTCAGTTCTGTCAGCATCTACTCAGTCGAGTGGAGACGAAAAATTCTATTCGAATTCGGCCCTTTCCCAATTTTTCTAATATATCCCAGTTTTTCAAATTCTTTCCACCAAATTGTCCAGAACTGAGGAGCTGAACTCGCTCGCTCTTTTTATTAATTCTCTGTTCAATTCTCCCTTTCTGGCATCCATTATCGAGATGCTCAAGCAGCTTCTTTTCTTTTCATATCTTCATCCTGCCCTCATGCTTACAATTTGGCCCACTCGCCCAAGAAATCTCCTCGCTTTCGAATTCCCCATTGAATTTAATTCAATGCTAGATTCTCTCATATCGTGTCATGTTGTATCATGTCAATTTAATTTTAATATTAAGTTAATTTTATTAACTGGAAATGATCCCTCTTGCGACGCGCAGTGTTATACATCGCGTGTGTTCGATTCTAATGGATCATTATTGCATTGAATGGATTATTTTTAATTATTATTATTATTTTGCCCCGTTCATTTCATATATTTCGTATTTTTCACTGTAGCTACATGGAGCACTACCAATATAGTAAACTTATTAAACAATAAAAGAATAAATAATAATAACAATAATTGTAATATCGTAACAGCATACATTATACAGTTACAAAACTATTACCACATGGTTCACGTGTCAGAATTATTACATTTATCATATCCAGTGCAATCTGTTTATTGTCACAATGAACTAGATTATTACAATAAAGATCATTAAAATCTGAATTTATAACAATAGGTTATTACATTATAACAATAAAGATTATTATTGCAATAAAGATTAAAATCTGAATTTATAACAATAGATTATCACATTAGAAGTCAATTATCGACAACTGCGAGTTCTGAACTCCCCCCCCAAAAAAAAAAAAAACCGAGACTGATCTGATTATTAGAAGTGAATTATCTGCAAAACTATGTCTCATACCTAAAAAAAAAAAAAAAAACTAAGAGACTAAATATCTCTGAATCACCGCGATCATTCCACGTTGCGAAGCCTCTGTTCTCAGGAAATCGGCAAATCAGCCGTGACGTGCCCTCGAATTCGAGTTTCTGGAGCCGGTCCAAGGTTTCGCGCGCGTTCTTAACCGGCGAAACCTGGCCGGAGCACTTGTTGCGTTCCGCTAATGAAACTTTTGTGTCACGAGCCATCGATTGCACGAACAGGTGGTTAATAGGCGGCCGGTGTTTACCACGCCCGGCCCTGCGAGACCACG